AACTCCGGTCGCGAACTTGAATCGATTGTCGTCTCTGAGATACAAAAGGCGTACAATGCGTATGCCAGTATCCTCAAGCGAGAAGCCGATGAGGCCTATGACGCCGTGGAGAAGCTCCGGACAGGACCCATATCCATGCCTCACGATCACGAATGGAACCACTTCATCGCCAATACCGATGAACTGGTCGATCCCCGCGTTTCTCTAAGGAACGTGGAGAACATCACCTACCCTGGCAAGGATCATCCGGCCGCGGCTGAAGTTCGATCCGGCATGCTGGAGCGAAAGAGCAAGTATCTGAAGAGCTATACACCCGGCTGGTAAGTATCCTCATTGTCCGTGTCTGCCCTGTTTCTGATTAGGAATCAGGTATGTCTTGTCACCGACTCATCTACACGAGTTCAAGTCTGCCGACCGAGTACCATGGCAGACGCCAGTGATGTCACTGTACCTACCAGAGCAGAAATTGGGTTCACACTCGCAGCCGGACTCAACGTCGCACAAATTCATGCTCAAAGGCCGACAAACCGGTCCCATGCATCGTGGTCACTCGTGGGTTTTCCGCGCGGAATCGCACGAGACCATGATGGCGTGGTACGAAGACATCGAAAGCTTGATCTCCAAGACTGGCGAAGCACGTAATGCATACGTTAGGCGACACGTCCGCAATGTGAGTGGCGCGAGTGCTCGGACCAGCATTGACCTGGATGAAGACGAGGCCGATCGCACACCGTATTCCGCGGAGGCAGTCGTATTGAACCAGGAACGGCCGACGTCTGCGCCTCGCGAGCCTGGTGGCCGTTTCCCGAGTGACGTGCAGATTGATCGCCACATGCAAGCCCCACTGTCTCCATCCAGCGGTGAGAGTTCTGGCGGGCACGACCTGTTTGCTGCTGCAGGGTCCCTGCCCGACGGAGCTCATTTTGCAGATGGAAATCGTTCTATCTCGGGACGAGATGGTAGCCAAACTCGAAACACGGTTGGAGAGCACGATGGGAACTACGGGCTCTCAGGCCCAGAGCAAAATGAAAGATATTATGGCGGTTGGATGGGACCAGCTGACATTGTCGCTCGTCAGAAGCAACAGGAACAGAGCAACGCTCTGGGTGACCAGAGAGACAATCAGGTTACCGACGGATCAAGCGACGTACATCCCATGCTCTTCGCCGGGATGGGGTCCGCTAGTTCCCGCGACCATTCGCTGAATCGACAACAGAGGAACAGGCGCGAGAGCGGATCCACTGCCCCAACCACGACGAACATCACCGATCACACGCACAATACCGTCCCTACCTCGATCGAGGGGGATCATGAAACTTCCATGATCGAAGGTAATGGTGTCGGCCACCAGCTTCGTGAGGGCCTCAAGAATGAGCGAGCGCCATCCAACATGAACAGCGCTGCAGCAACGCCGTTGTCTGAAGTTACCTCGGAAAGAGCCTACGGCTCCTATATAACAAAACCCGAAGATGATGTGAGGCGATCTAAACCAAGTGTATCTGCGCTTGAGCTACAAATTCCAGGCCACTACCCACCCGCAAATCATATACCTGCGTGAAAACATCCAGTTGACGCAAACGCTTCACTTCCAATTGCTTTTTTCTTCTTCTCTGTACATTATATACTTCGTCAACAGGTGATCACCCACGTCACTAGCTGAAGTCTCCTCGTTTTTCCTTTGGGTGACGATGCCACCGAGGCCGACGGTATGGCCTGGCATACTTCACAATTGGGTGCTTGGCGTTTTTCCTTTTTCGAATGAATGGATTGTTTGGATACGGCTGTGGAGCTGGGGGTCTGGATTGCTTGCCTGCTCGGCGTGCGCGCTTGATTTGACTCTGAATCTCCATGCGGTGCGATGTATTTCCTTTGTGGTTTCCTTTGTCATTTCCTATGTCATGCGTCATTGACTCCGATGTTTCGCTTCCCTGTACTATATTCTTATATTTCCTGAAATCGTCAGGTCTCTTGAAGCATATGGATATCAGCCCCACGATCTAAACATAGACAAGCCTCCCGAGAATACTACCATACCACACGCTATGAACGGCTAGACTCAAGTAGAATACAGCGCGCAATGAATCCAGGCCCCTCGACATCGATCATTCCTTTTTTTTCACTGATATATTCTTTCCCAAATATCATATCACCTAATTTCTTCGAGAGCTATTTGTCTCTACGCTGGTGATGGAATTCTTCGGCCTTCTTCACTACTGGGGGAACTACATGGTGTAAAGCGCATATGCCGCCTTAAATCATCAACCTCGCAAATACTACACCACAACGCTAAAGTGACGGTAAATTGAGCGCAGTAGCTGCATTCGACGCCAGTTTAAGCGTTCAATTTACCGAGGTCTTAGTCATTCTAGTATTACGTTCACTGGCCCACTTTAATTTATTGCTCCCGTAGTACTCCCTTCTGGTGTCATCCTATACCGCTAGTCGACTAGGCGCTCTTGTCTATAGAAGAAACGAGCAACTAACATTAATCATTTTTCTTAGCAATGCAGACGACGAGGAGGAAAGTGCCGAGGCTGAATAGGACCTTAGACATAAGGATCTCAAGACCCTTTATTACGGGCAATTCAGCTTGATCTTGCTACGGAATCCTAGTAGAGCTCGTTTAAAGGATACTAAGGGCCACCATAGTAGACCGAAAAGGTGAGGTGCCTCAAAGATTTGCTTGAGATCTACTGAACTGACTATGTCTTCAAGGAAAATATTTTTGATGCCCCAAGTGAGACAGCCTATTTTCGACGTCATAGATCTGGCAATTTCACTGGTAATCCTCGTGAGATATTCATAACAAGAGAAGAATGATTGATGGACTCTTTGTAACGGCGCGACCCAACGTCAACCTATGGGATAAGTTCACCATAGAAATGCTAAGATGATGGCGGGTTGCAATGGGAAGGTTAAGGAAGCAAGCCAGCTGACTAGTATCAAGAGTACCAAGGGACAGCGATGAATCTTGTTCATTGTGCACATTTCAATTCATTCAGGGGAATTTTGGGCCCTAGAAGGAGCGAACCACACGTTGACTGAGTGCAGGTCTTGACAACATCCCATGGTTGATCGATGCAAGGAACTAAGCTCATTTTGCGTGTTTGTGTACGTCACGAAGTCACAATTCTTAAATACTGACGGCAGCCCTGGAGTCTTCTCGTTCTCATTTTTACAGAATATCCATAGGCCAGATTGAGACTCTCTCGGTCTACTCGTTTTTACATCGCGTCTGTATCCAAAACCAAATTCCAGTCTCTGCCTCACGTTCAACATCATCTTTCGCCTTGAAGACTCGAAGATGTCGCGATGTCGAAAGATGCTCTCCAGGCCGCTTCATATTTTTGGGAAGAGAGTGCCAAAATACTCCGCCATACTTTGTTTGGATGAGCGCATCTTACAGAAGATCTACCAACACCTCTCACTGGTCGATCAAGTTTGTCTATCCCTCAGCTGCAAAGAGCTCTTCGGCCTATTCGGGACGATAGTGAAGCACAAAGATCTTGAATTTCCACGACTCTTGCGTATTAGGAATCCAATCCTGTGCGTGAACAGTCGGGATGTGCCGCGAAATCAACTCCTCCTTCGACTCGAAAATCGTCGCTGGGCCTACTGTGGAAAGTGTTTGAAACTCCATCCACGGAAAGAATTCGTGAGACATTCACTGGGACTATCAGCTCTGGAGAGACCCTGCACTTACTACGCTGGTATAGCTGACCTATGTCCCTGTATTTCTCTGACGATCCGAGGTCGAGACCAGCTTGTCAAGATCCTCAAATCACCCGCGAGTCAGCCCAAAACCAAATACGGCCCATTTGAGTATGACTTTGACAATGAAGGAAGACCCGGCCTTTTCCACCGCTGTTTATTTAGCACTGGGTCTGGCTGCCTTGTGCGAGTTGCTCTGATAGTATATATTAAGGAAACTGGCCAGTTATGTGTAACGGGTCGGCATACTATAAGCTTCTTTTCCTCCCACGCTCATCTCACAGCTGAGCCTACCTTTGCTTGTCCTCATCAGGATCTCCTATATCTCGTCTCCAGGAATCAAACCGCAAAAGATCTTCACATGCGCAGGACTTTGATTTCTTCAAAACCTCGTAAGGATCTCCTGTCTCTCGTCTCCAGGAAGCAAACCGCAAAAGATCTTCACATGCGCAGGACTTTGATTTCTTCAAAACCTCATCGGGATCTCCTGCCTCTTGTCCCCGTGAAGCTGGTCTCAGGAGCCTGTCCCTGGTGTCAGACTTTGATTGCAAAATACCATGAAGACAAGAATCAGGCTGAGTTCTGGGTGGTTCGAAATCTGGGAAGGTGTGAATGGCCTGCAGACCGTCCTTGGCTTGACCAGTGTCGTCTCACCGGAGCATGGTTTTCGCATAATGAGTAAGCTTATCAAAGGATCCGCGGAGAAAGAAGAACTATTACTGAGATTTCCCTTTAGGTATTGGTCGCGGGACTTGCGGAAGATGACGCAAGGTGTTTACGGTCAGTGGAAAAGAGATTACTGCCTGGAACAGGAAAGAAGATTGCTTCAATATCAACGCAAAGCCCCACGCAAAGCCCCACTAACTGCAGATGAGGGAGTCCAGATAGCTGCTACCATCCCGGTGCTGCTTTTTGCAGCATCGTGTTGTTGAAGGAAAAAGAAAACATGATGTGCGCTCCTGGGACAATTCATTTCTATTTTAAGGAAGAAGACTGGCTGATTGGCTTTGATAAATCAATGAAACTTCATTTCATCCCGGTACAGGACATGTCCAAGCTCCAGTATTTGGTATCCAGCATAGAGAGTGGCGACAATCTGTACATGAATTGATGCTGTCACCCTGATAATTGAAGCCCTCATGCCTAGTTAGTTCGCCCATCTCCCCATGCTTCCCATCAGGATCGGGTCGTACGACTTCGGCAGGCCCTCGTAGCATCTTCTTGCCCGGTGCTTTGAATATTTGTCTGGTCACTTTCGCCATCTTTTATTTCTCTGCCTACTGTCTGGCCTATTTTCCCTTGAAACGCGCCTGCACTGCACTCTTGGCTGGAAGCCAGCCGGACAGCGCCAGCTGTGGAATCTCCGAGACTCGATTTTTCCGCTCCGTTCCTTCTTCCCGTCAGTGCGGCCGCCTTAGCTTCCAAATCGGCTGCTTCATTGCCAGAAAGGCCCACCTGTACGGGGATTCAGTGTCATCATCATCAGAATCGTGGGTGACGTGGTCGTAAATTTCATTGAGGACGTGCTGGCCAGACGCTTTGGATTTTGCACCGCCTGGTTGGCGGCCTGGCTGTGGGAGAAAATGTGCATCTGCGCAGGTGATTCCGCCAATACCGTTGACCTTCCGGAAAAGCACGACTCCCCGCGGTATCTCCTTGACCTTTGCTTGTCATCGCTCACCGGTGGCTTACCATGGATGGGGCGTGAAATACCTCTGGAGTTAGTGGGAGCAACTGGATTGTCATCCAACTCCTTCGGTACGCTGGGGATGCCGCTGCGGCTGGGCGTGGGCTCCATGGGCTGGGTAGTAATGTCCGACGTTTGACAGGTTCATGTGCTGCAGCAGGTCGCTTCGCGTATCGCGGACTGATGCACACCAATGTGCTAACGGGAACGATCAGAATGAATCCTACGGGATCCTGTGGAACGATGGCATATCAGCCTGGTGGTTGAAACTCCGTCACTATTGGTCATTAGGCCCTGTGACTGCCCTGGATCCGCTCACACAAAGAAAGGTCAATTGGCTCTGTCAGTTGCACTCTAGCGAGGATTCTTTTTCCAAAGTATGGATCTCATGTGGCTCCTGTCCTGCACGCATTGAGCAGGATATCAATGGACCACCGAACATCCTGGCTGTCGAGAGTTTGGGGACAGGACAGTGAAAACATCAGTGACCAATCAATTGAGAACAGAGCGGTCTGCGGGTGCCAAAGCCATGCGGCCAAGGCAAGGAGAGAGACGCTCGGGACACCGGGATAGGAGAGTAAATTCGTTCTGGTTGCGCTCAGTAATCAGTCAGACTACCTTGGGGACAATGTACTGACCCGAGCCTATCCTGGGAGAACGGATGGCATAGAGATTGTCCGTTCGAAGCAGGAATAGTGTCGAGAAACAAAAGTGAGTTGTCTCATGTCATTTTCCTGCGCTCGAGATCCGCAAAGCAATGAATCACTTACATGTGGGCTCGTCTTGGCTTCACCCGAAGGTTACTAGTCACCAGCACTGCGAAGAAGTGCGAGCCCGTCGCTGGTGGCCCCACCACTCCATCTATCAAGGTGAGCCGCCTCGAAAGATGGAGCTCTCCTACACCATTCCCTCAGCCACCGCTTCCCGGGTGTAGGGGTGGGGTCTCGAAGTGTACCAGTCCAGTCAACCGATCTCGCGTCTTCGGAGACGACCTGAGTCAAGTTGACCTTCATGCCCTGCGCCTAATCTGTCCTCGCCAGTGACCCCTCCGACGCGCGCCGATCAGCCCTGCCACCATCTGAGTTAGATGGTGCCCAAGGATCGGGAGTTTCGTCTCTCCCGACAAGGCCCGGTGGAGCCTGGAGCTGCGTATCCCGCTGGTCTGAGGGGTCCGGTGCGGGAAGATCGCTCCCTCCAGAAGCGTCTGTTCTGCCCGCACCACCTGACTCGAGATCGGCTGGACGGCGCACATCATTCTGGTCCGACGGCGGCCACAGTCGGAGAAACCAGTAGTGCAGCCATTCCTTGACAGGGAGCAGCCTTGCCACCGACACTCCGAGAGAGACACAACTAATAATCAGCGCAATCCAGACTATTTCCATTATGGGTGAGTATATAACTTGCCTTGAATTTGTGTGTGAGGAGAGGAAAAGAAGAAGACATAATGAAATCGAGCAGGAAATCCTTGTAAACCCACGGTGGAAGCTACTACGCAGGCAGGTGCATCTATCGTGGAGGAAGGTACGATGGGAAGAAACGTATGTGCGAAGATCCTACAGGCGCAGGAACGTTGAATCTAGTACATGGTAGATTTCCCAGCCAAGACCAAAAGAAAGAACCATTCCACATCGGAAAAACTAGAGCTGAGTGTCGGGGTTGCTCGTAGATAAGTCGAATGAACAAATTTCTAGGTCACGGCGGACGTTCGTCTAATGAGATGCTTACAACCCGCTCATACGTGAGGGATGCAGGTGTGAGAGACCCATGAGGTTACCGCCGGCAAGTGTGGAAAGGTTAGTTACGTATGATCACTGATGGCCATAATATAAGAATTCCACTAGCATCTACTGCTTCCCCGATGAGGATTCTCCAGACAAAAATTGAGGGCGCCAGTCGATGACTCGGTGCGCCCACAAACACACTGATCCAGGTGCACTTCCTGTATTCTTACGACTTGAGAGCGTACCTCTTATATTGAGATTCGGTGTAACAGGAATGATCTGCCGAGATTGTTGGCCCAAATAAAATCTTCTAAGGTCCCTTCGGACTACTGTGTCAGTGCATAATACTGGAGGCCGTAGTAGTAATACCCTTGATCCGCTGCATGAAGAAAACCATTTAACATTGCACCCAACGCAACACAAAAGATAGTCTACCGATTCTATCACTGATCCTCGAGTTTTTAGAGACATGGTCAGAGTGTGATCAGCGCGGCGGTTGACAATCGCCTCTTAGGGGTTGCGTCAAGATCATCTGGATCTCCGCCGGGGTTTGTATGTGCCAGAAGTGGCACCTAGGGACGCGTCTCTGGGGTAGAGTCGCGATCGAGGGCAAGGCACCCGGGTAGCGAACAGATGGAACCAAAGAGACACTTGCAGATTCCTACATAAATTGAATGTTCCTTCCTATTGCGAAAATCAAAGATCTTTTGAAATGGGACAAGGTAGGCACGTATATTGTGAGTGCTACAATAATGGTAGCTCTGCCATCAACAAGAATCAAAAACACAAAACAGCATAAGGAGAGTGTAATAGTAGAATGAGACTTGGAAAAATAGTCAAATTATGAAATGCAGGTCAGTATGTCATCAATTCCTGGTGGTTATGAGTAATACATCGCAAATTCTGGTAAACTAATTTTCCCAGGAATACCCGCACTTTACATGATCTGATCCTGCGTGATTCCGGTAGTGGGTTCTGCACCTTCCATGGGCTCGCCTTGACCCTGGTCTGCATTCATGTACTTGACAAACGTGATACCGAGAGGACGACCACCATACTGATAACCAGTGAATTTGGCTGCCGAGGAGTTAGTCAGTCTGCGGTCAATGATATTTTCCAACTGTAACATACCAATCGCAGTCTCCGCAGTCTCCGCATTGTCGAACTGGACTACACCAGTGCCACGAGAGCGACCGTTGGGCTCGTACTGAATTTCAGCACGTTCAACCTTGCCGATGGTGGAGAAGAGATCCACTAGATCATCATTGCAAGTAGACCAGGGCAGCTGGTGATCAGGATCGTTAGCACAAGCTCCGCGACGGCGGAGATGACCAGCCGTGTGAGTCAAAAGGCTAAACTCACATTGCGCACGTAGATGATGGGACTCTTTTCTCCTCCAGAGGTTGCAAAGTCAGTAAATGGGTTAGGGGGAGCCGATGCGGCGGGCTCGAAGTTCTGGGGGGCCCCAAAACCACCGCCTCCGCCGTAACCACCTCTGAAGCCGCCGCCGCCGCCAAATCCGCCACGGCCGGCAAAACCTCCACGACCGCCAAAGCCACCCCGGCCGAAGCCACCGTAGCCACCGCGGCCGCCGAAGCCGGGTCCGGAACCGGCAAAGCGGTCCTCACGGACCTCTAATGTCCGTCCCTGCCAGTCGTAGCCGTTGAACTGTTGAATAGCGTTGCGCGCATCCTCGGGAGATTCGAAAGCGACAATACCGGAGCCCTTGGGACGGCCAGTTGCATCGGTGTGAACGTCGGCGCGGATCACAGCACCTTGCTGGGCTGTCACGACGGTCAGACATTAATTTCGATATTCAATATCGCCCGATAGAAGGCTGCCGCGGAGCGGTTTTGCACTTACCAGCTTGGCGGAACAGATCCTTCAGGTCCTGCCAACCGACATTGAAGGGGAGCTAATTCATGATTGTCAATACTTATAACCGGATCTATGACGGAGCATTATATGATTCGAGTAGGGGCAACAAACGTTAGACACATAGAGTTGTCTTCCACCACCGCCAGGAGCACCACCGGGGGGGCCACCGTAGCCTCCGAAGCCACCTCGGCCAGCACCCCCAAAGTCTCCTCGGGGAGGTCCACCAGTAAAGCGTGGTTCGGGCTCACGGTCCTAGTCAAATCTTGTCAGCGAACACAATGGGCGAGAGACGCGCACAGATCGGGTTGCGGATGTACCTCGCGAACGTAGACGAGACGACCCATGAGGTTCTGGTTGCTAAGCGTGTTGACTGCATTCTGCGCTTGCTCCCTTGTAGCGTATTCCACAATCCTGAAATATATTGTTAGCGCAGGCTCAAGAGGTAATGAGAGGCGGAGACACTCACCCGCATCCCTACAATGTCCGGACGGCCAGGCCCAGCCCGTCAACCCAAATCGTCCATGCAAGAAACCAAGGAAATCCAGAAGTAAAAAGAAAGAAGAAAAAGAAAAAGCCAGCCACGCTACGCATTGGTGCCCACCTTCGACATTCCATTGGGAAGTAGTAAGACGTCGGCAAAGATAACTTCTCCAGCTGTATGAACGATGCGGAAAATCATTCCCCCCAAAGTCAGCCACAAGTTTTCATCCAACAAAAGCTGCGTCGCACTGCCGACACGATATGACCCTGCTCACCCTGTCTCATAAAGTCCTTGAGATGATGCCACTTGACATCGTATGATAGGTTGCCAACATAGACCCGGCGGTCCTGTTGGGACGACTCGCGTACTGATTGCATCATTTGTTCTTTGGCGACTGTACGATCCTCAAAAGATCTCGAAGGAGGGTAACTGCTGCGGCCACCGTAACCAGATCCTGAATGTCCTCCAGTGGCGCCCTGAGCAGTACTCATAGGAGACCGAGACCGGCGATCACTGCGGCGATAATCGTCACGACTGCGAGAGCGACTGCGTGGGGAGTACGAGCGACGGCTTCGTCGAGGACTGCGAGAACGTCGGCGGGGCGAGCGAGACCTCTCGCGCTGCGCGTAGTCAGTGTCAAAGGAGTCGGAAGGCATCGACGAGTTTGGACCGAGCCCGGTAAGACTAAAAAAAATAGAAATCGATAAGAAGCGCGAGTAGCGAAAGGGGTATGGCTGCAATGAGAGGCTAGGAAATGATGGGAATGTAACGTCTCAAGGGGGGGCTGGTCTGAGACTGTTCCTTCCCGAGTTTCGTGGAAACCCCAACGCTAGCGCTGAGATCTGGCAGAATGGAGATCAGGTGACACCGCCTGCGCAACAACGCGCAAATCTCAAGAGAGTTGAGGACCCGGGGAGAAAGGGCACACAGAAAGTGAAAATTTTTATCACGGAAGTGAAGAAGGACAAAATCGAGACAAAGAAGGTAGAAGGGTTCTTGAGACAAACAACATGGTGCAGAGTGGAAACGAGACGTTAGAAGTGTGTTACATGCAACGGATATGGACAGTGGATACCCGACATCATCACCCGCGCGCCATCAGCCCCAGGAAATGGGAACTATGAAGGCATAGGAAACTCATTTCTGAGCAAGAGAAGAATGTTTTCTGCTCAAGAACATTTGGGTGGGACATTCTGATGACAGGTGAAGGACTATAGAATGTACACTAGACAAGGACACGACAGAAGCGCATGACTTACTTGGTATGGTCGATAGACGTCGGCTGGAGAAGAGCACTTAATGTAAGCCAAGAGTCCACTATCAACGCGATCGGAAATAGAGCAGCGAAGACAAGTGCCAGGGAGGCGAGAAGGGTAAAAGGTAGGAGGAACGAAACGATCAAAGGAAATGAGAAAGACGAGAGAGTAAATAGCGGGGTGAAGATGGAAAGTAAAAACAATCACACTTTGTCAACCAGTTTGTTGTGCGTGTGCGTGTGCGTGTGCATGTATGTCTGTCAGATCATCGGAAGTGTCAGGGCAAAGGTAAGGGAGGGAGGGAGAGAGGGATGGGAACGATTGATGGGAATCCCGTGCGGATCCGAAGGGATGCAGCGCTCTCTCAACCAGGATGATTCGCTCGCGGACGACGAGTAGCCCGTGGATGGCTCTTACCTGGTATTGACAGTGCGGTAGAGTTCCGGGAATGTTGGGGAGAAAGGAATTTTTGATGGAGTGAGGGACCAAGGATTGGATGGACTGATGAAGGGATGAAGCGGGTGGATAAATGGATGGGAAGAGGGGGTGTGAAAGGTGACGGTTCCTACAGTAGTAGGTACAGTGGTACGGTGGTAGTGGGTGACCTTTCGGGATTGGAGGGGGGGAAAGGGACGGATGGTGGGAGTGAATACTAAGGGTACAAAGTAGATCGATTGTGTTGAACGCTGAATGTCAAGTGTCAAGCCGATGGTATGTGCAGGACACTGAACAGTGATTGGACTGAGAGTAGCCTTGGAGGCCAAGACAGGGGGTTGAGAGAAGGCAAAGGAGGAGGTGACTGTTCAGCGGAGCAACACAAGGCTAACAGTGCTCTGTAAGGTAGTAAAACAACTTGTATGGAGGATTTGAGGTGAGACGCAATGGAGATACCATGGATACATAGGGATACGTGTTGTTGTGGTTGTGGTGGTGATGATTGATAATGATGAGGAAGAGTTAAAAAAGTAAAGAAAATAAACGAAGAAAGATGTAGCTGGTCACTCACCCATGATGCTGTGTTATTGTTGTTAGCTGCGAGATGTGAT